GGAGACGCGCACAGGTCCGCGTATTCAAATAACGGCAGTCGAATATTCGCTCCCTGGGAGCTGGCTGTGACAAAGCTCGTAGGCCGCGGTAGCTGTTCGAGCTCGGGGTCCAGCTGCACTACTACTAGGTAGCGTATGCGGAAAATTGCTGGGCGAGGCTCTAAGTCGAAACGCACGCCTCTCGCCAACAGGCCTATGTCGACAGGCTCCGGCTCCTGGTCGAACGGATCGACCAAATGTGGATGATTAGGCTGATTAAACCGCCTGCGAAGGCCCTGCTGGCCCCGACCACCTTGATGATGATAACCTCGGTGGCGCACACCGAGAGGGTTACGACCCGCGCGTCCTCTGAATGGCCTTCTGTAATCTTCGTCGTAACGGTCCACTGCAGAAGCGGATTGAGGCTAGTAAAAGCAAACGAATTGGTGTGACTCCGTAGGATTCGGCCAGAGGTACGCGAAATGCTCGTTAAGCACAGAAGAGCTCGAACCTGCTGTTTAGGTGAGCTGAATATATAGTATAAGAAAAATGTTAGGCTGGGCTGACCAAGCCTAGATGGTAACACGAGTAGATCGTATAAAGTATTCGGGATCGAGTGTTCGACAGACGGCTGTGCGTAACACAGTATTGATTGTAAAAGTGACCGAATACACAAGCAAATCGACCCAGTAGAAAATGGCCCGAAATTGCTGAATGGTAGGGCAGCTGTGCGTAACACTGCTGACCGGCTGCGGCTGGCGTGACCTAGCCTGCCTAACCTACCAAAAAGGGTGCTGGGAAAAGCAACCCGAATATCCCCTAAGCGACAGAACACCTAAGGTAAACCCAAAAACCGAACTTACTTGGTACTTTAGCCTGATTTAGGCTTTACGGCTATGGAATGCAGGGTGGTCTAGGCGAAGTCCTGCAGGTAGCTTGAATGCTGACTAGACGGCACACGAACGGGCAAGTCGTAATACGCAGCAAATAGCAACCCGCGAAAGGGGCCAAGATTCCCTCCAGGCAACAAATCAACAGTGATAAAGATTTACCTTACCGACTGAGTATGCCCGGCGTGAAGGATATGGGCGTTGAGTGGCCCACACAGGAGTTCGGCTGGTGGAAGGAAGTTACTTATGCGGCTTACGAAAAGGGAGGTCCGCACAGGGCTTGTTGTCTAGCTCAGAGAACTTTACAATGTTCCAATCATGAGCCGTAAAGCGACTTTTCCAAGCTCGCTGCCGGCTATAAATACCGAAGTCACGATGTCGATCACAGGAGGCCCTCAAAAGATAAGCCTCGAGTACGACCATGACGTATAGTCCACAAATGACAAAAGTGAAACACCTTATAACCCGTGTGACAGAACATTCACACAAGAAATAAACAATTCACAAGTAAAGTACATAAACATACGCGAACGAGCGTACATTCTCGTCTCGTCCATAAGTCCATCAGCGAAGTGTAAGATAAAAACCAAACACCTTACGCGATAATACACGAAATTCGCGTATTCACACCGATTATAACCTAAGACGATTATAAAAGACGGTAAAATGAACGTGACGCTAAAATGTCGTGACACAGGGTCGGCTGACGAGCTGCCTGCTTCGCTGGGGAGGACACTGCATTGAGGTCTGCAACATCTATGTCCCCACCGGCACTACTCATAGAGCAGCAGCCCTCAGGCAAGAACTGATCAGCAACATCCTGGCAGCAACGGCCACGCAGGCAGATACAAACAATGACACCACCCTTATATGGGCGGGGGACTTCAACTTTGTCGAAAACCCAGCGCTGGACTCCACAGCGGGGGAGGATGGCACTCTGGGAAAGGTTTTCACCCGTAAATTCATGTTTACCCGTAATCATGTGGTCTTCACATGTAATTACCGGCCAAGAAAATTTGTACACATGCTTATTTTTAAGTTGCCAAAGCATTCCTTTTATAAGGAATAACACAGGTGACATTTTGTTGG